AAAATTGGGTGGCTGTAATCCCGAATGACTGGCGGCGTAAGATGATACACGAATGCCATCAGGTAGCGCACACAGGTATCGCAAGAACGACAGATTTACTACGGCAAAGTGCATACTGGCCAGGCATGAGAGACGATGTGGCCCAATATGTGTTGACGTGCCAGCAGTGCCAATTAATGAAAAGCGATAGATACATGCAACCGCCATTGCAGTCGGTCCCAGTAACCGCAGTTGGTGATCTATGGTCGGTAGATGTGATGGGACCATTTCCACAGACGGATAGCGGCAACCGATACTTACTAGTAATGACGGAACATGCTACACGATGGGTCAACGCTGTACCGATTGCCGACCAGCGGGCGAAAACAGTGACCGAAGTAATAATCCGGCACATTGTAGCAGGTCATGGAGTACCGAAGATGATATTAACCGACCAGGGTCCCTGTTTTGAAAGTGACGAGTTTAAGGCCCGTTTGAAGCAGTTCGGTATTAAGAGGATACGAACTACACCGTATCACCCTCAGACGAATGGGCTTACGGAAAGAAACAACCGGACATTAAAGGAATGGCTAGCATCTAAAGGAGGGAATTGGGAGAAAGAGTTACCACTAATTTTTCTGGCGCATCGTGCCTCCATCCAAAGAAACAACTAAGAAATCACCTTTCCTACTTATGTATGGTAGACAGCCACGACTTCCGATGCATAATAAGACGTGGCCACAGCAGCAGAAGTGGACGGCAACAAGATTAAGGAAAGAGAGGACGGAGGCAATAAAGAAAGTGAAAAAGAAACAAATATCAGACACCAAGAAGGCGGAACAGCAGAGAAGAGCATGGAAGCCTTTTAGAGTGGGGGACCTGGTAAAGTGTAGAGAACGGAGAGCTAACACTGAAGGGGGACCAGGGTCAGGAAAGCTGACCCCGAAATGGGAGGGACCGTACATTATCACGGAGAGACGCGGCCCAGTTTACACGATCCGGAGAGAAGACAAGCAGAAGCGTGTAAATGCCAGTCAACTACAGAGATGGTTTCAGGAACATCATGAGCACGAGTCACGAACAGCACCAAAGGAGACAATGGTACGGCGATCAGAAAGATTGCGAGAACAGCTTATTAAAAGGGGGGACGAGTGTGGTGTGAGCTACTGATATCGACATAAGTAGTATATATGGTGAGTAAGGAATAGAATATCTGACAGCAGAAGATTGAGAAGATCAAGAAGAGAAGAACAGAAATAAAAAGCAATTTGTGTGGAAATCCAGGAACAATGAAGTCTGAGGCAATTGAAGAACATTTTGCAAATAGTGTATCATAGCATGGTTTTTGTATTTTACCAAGTAACGTTGTAATTTGTGCTAAATACATAGTTGGTTGTCCTCACCTGTTTTCTCATTCACAACATCGCAACCATCAAGCTAGAACTACACAGCAACTTGAACACGAGAGAAAATGTACGAGAAGCACTTTACTCCAAAGGTTCATGTACGAAAAATATAGGGTTTTTATAATACTTTAGGAGTCTGGGTTTTCCTGAAAATTCTAGAATACTATTAAACATAACAGCAATGTAGTAATCAGTCAATCAGAACCTCTGCACGTGACTTTTCATTTTCGCGATATTTCTAACAAAACTTCTAATCAAACACTGATTGGATAAAATGCTTCTTAATATTGAATTCACTTAGTATTGTTTGTTTGGATCTTCCCATCGATGTGTTTAGGACTGCAACTGGTCAGTCGCTAATTGGCATATGTGCATACTGTGCTTATTGCCTCGATCTACCTTAATTCACAAGCATGGTAAGCAGAGATGGATAGTGGCTAGCAGTGGAATCCAGGACGCGCGTTTCGTCCTATTTGGGACTCGTCAGCTGAATGTACCTGCATCTCAAAGTTGATGTTCACTCTGGGACTCGAACCCAGTACACTCGCTTCAAACGCCATCGCGTTATCCACTCGGCCACTGAGTCCTGTGAATTAAGGTAGATCGAGGCAATACGCACAGTATGCACATATGCCAATTAGAGACTGACCAGTTGCAGTCCTAAACACATCGATGGGAAGATCCAAACAAACAATACTAAGTGAATTCAAACTTCACCCAATCGCACAAGCAAGTGGCTATCAGGACTCAGTGGCCGAGTGGATAACGCGATGGCGTTTGAAGCGAGTGTACTGGGTTCGAGTCCCAGAGTGAACATCAACTCTGAGATGCAGGTACATCCAGCTGACGAGTCCCAAATAGGACGAAACGCGTGTCCTGGATTCCACTGCTAGCCACTATCCATCTCTGCTTACCATGCTTCTTACTATTTCCTGAACCTTTCTTATCTATTGCGAGAAATCTTCTGGATCACCCCAATAGTATCACTTTTAAACTAACTAATATCTCAATGTTTTTTTGATAAGTTAATCGATCAGTAATTCACTTTTTTCTATTTGATCCCAAATAGATGAAGTTTTTTTCTTTTTGTAAACTAAAATTTACATTATTTTTTCAACTATTTAATTGCCATTGATAGGATAGTTTATTCAATTTGTATTAGTTTATTTCTAATAATCAGTAAATAAAACGGAAATATATTTAATTGTATTAAAATTCCAAAATTTGTAATTTAAATTATGTATTCAAGTTATTGTATTTTCAGGAATCGACATCTAAATAATGTACATTCTTTTGTATGTATATAGTCAGTAATGTACATCATTTAGATGTTGATTCTTGAACTGCTAACATCTAACTAGCGATCATTCAATAATTGTCGTCAGGATTGATCGCGAAGTAAGAAACGGAAACTTATTGTATTTTATATTATTTATTTTAATAAACATTCATTTATTTATGATAAGTATGCATATGTATTTAAACTATTGTTTCCTTTCATTGTATATAAAACTGTTAAACATCTGTTGTAATATGTTAAAATTAAAATTAAAATGTTTTTCTTATCTTATTTGCTAATTCATGCTGTTGTTTTGTTTCGTTTTTTTAAGTAAAATAATAATAGTGATATATACATTGAGTTTTATACTGAAAAGATTTTAAAGTGTCTAGTTACCTTTATAACAATTAAATTCTATAATTTTTCTATAGAACTTCTGTTTTACACTATGAAGTTGGCAGAATTTAATGAATGCACTTTCATGTTATACAAGTTTTTCAGATAATAAGTAGATCTATTATGGGCTCATTATCTATTAAGTTTCTTGAAGTATTATGTTAAAAAGATATGACTTTTAGAGTTGCAAACGTTAGGAGTGAGATAATAATTAACTACAAAAGGATAGTGCTATATTTAAAGTTGACTAACGCTAGTGATATTAAACTATGGATATCTAATTTGACTTACAGTTACTCTAGACAACAAATGACCTCATAGTTTTGGGTCCAGTCCCGTTATGACTGAGATAACTTAAACTAGAGCAGGATAGCTCTTTAGCTTTTTTTCGTTCTTATCGGTTATTTGGCTGGTGTTAGTTTTTGCTTGAAATTGTCTTCAATGATGAAACGGGTCGTTTAGCATTGGTTATACACCCCAATAAAGAAAACCGTTCAAAACTGAGATAGTTTTTTTCAATTTATCCATTAATAGTTTTGAAAATTTCAGAGAACTCAGAATATGGTCCATTTGTTGGTCAACAGATCCGGAGATTGTTGACTTGGGTTAATATCATAAACCGAACTAATTTAGACAACCACTGGAAATTCGGGAGCACCTAATGACTGTTACTTCCTAGTCTGGGATCTCTCATCAGCTCACATTCAATACCTCACAACCTGTAATTGAACCTGGAACCTATGGATTCTCATGAAAATGCTTAATATTTAAAACAATGCATCGAATGTCTTGGATTTGGCTCTCGGTTGTGAAGTCTATGATGTGCGCTCTTGAATAGCTGTACACCAATGGCCTTATATATATATATATATATATATATATATATATATATATATATATATAAATTACAAGCATAGAAAAATATGCAAATTGTATTATCTTTTGTTCATGATAGTTTACTTAATTTACTTAAACACATAAATAATAAATTATTTAAGGAAATATGTTCTGTGCCGTCTTACGAAACTGTTATAGTATCTTACTGAATAAAAAGTTGCATTTTACTATTTATGTTCTGTTGAGTATCTTAATAAAAATTAGTTACATTTGCCATTTTTCTGTAAACACATGTATAATTAGTACTAATTTGTAAACAGTGAGACGGAAATTCTGTCAAATTACTGTGTTAAAACATTTTCGTCAATTAATTAATTATTAATCAAAAAGTTAAAGTTTAGGGACAATCATTCTTCCTAGTTTAATTGTCTGTTGTGAGTAAAAAGGTATGCCTATGTGAGTTCATCTTGAAAAAGTCACTGAACAAAATCATTAGATGGGTCTAAAGAAAGCTTGAAGTTAATAAAATCTGTGAAGACAGCTAAATAAGGCGGATAACACCAGAGTACATTGAATTTATCATTGTTGGATAATCAAATAGGTCACGGCGTATGATAACTTTGTCTAAAATGGCAACAGAAGCTTTGCACTCGTTACGGAAAACGAACATTACTATTGGTTTAACCTTTTCGTTAAACTATAGTGAATGTGAAAGTTGATCAGCTTTATTTATTATATATATCAACAGTAACTACAGAATGTACATCACCTTCCAGGCACAATCTGGTTGTTTCAACGTTCATTTTGGAAAGCACTCAAATATAAACAAGAATTCGGTTGGTTTGCTTATGTTAGCGGTTTGAAGTTGATCTATTGTTCATTCGTTTCACTTTTTTCAAATTAAAAATGAACTGTATTTGCACAACATCTTTCCTAATATATACCGATTAATTATGTACAAAGCCTAGTAAGTCATAAAATTCACTACCAGGAATATCTTAAGTACCATTTAATTAAGCACTTTTAATCAATTTATTAGCTTTAACATTTCATTCTTTTCCACTTTTATAGCTTATTTAATGTGTTTTTTTTCGATTTTGAAGAAATCTGAACAATTTAAAGAAACTAAGAGTGAAAGAGAATGTGCTTCAACGTTTACCACCTGAAATCGGTAAGTAATAAACTTATGTGAACTGAAAGTTTTTATTAACACAAACTAAAAGTCATGTGAGCAATAATGGTAAAAATAAGAATGTTGTTTCAAGAGCTAACACCTCCTGAATACTGGAGCTGGAAAATATCATTTTTGTGCTATTTATCTCCATAAATTCGTCAGCCACATTATTTTTAAACGATTTCGCCAAACCGAAGGTTTACAAATGATACAAAAATTGTACACTACTTATGAACTGTTAAGTAGTTAAAGTATAACTGAAATAAAGATTCGTAGTGCATGAGAATCTGTCTGTATGTTATTTCATCTTCGATCCATCTTATTTCTTTTCCACATAATCTGTTCTAATCACTTTTCAGGCAAACTGGAGAATTTAACACATTTGTATTTATCCAATAATAAGCCATTAGATTTGCTTCCTATCGAATTAGGAATGCTGCCTTCTCTACGATTTCTGGGTATTGATGGTTGTAGTCTTAGACAGATGCCTGTTGATATAACAAAAAATGGATCAGCCTCTGTCATTAAGGTGGGTAATTCTCTATTCAGTTCATTAACTCTAGTGGCTGTTTTTTACTTTTTTCTTCATTGGGAAATACAATTTTTGCTACAGATTAGATATTTTATGTTTGGAAGAATTGTTTGTAATGAATCTAAAGCTGGTAAGCAATCGCTACATTCATCGTCACCTGTTATCAGATGACACAAACTTTCGCTTGAGATGAATGTTTTTGTTATTTCATTGTTGTATAAAATATTACTTGTTTTGTTTTTGTGTTAAGTATTTCCAATATAATAACTTACAATAAAATATCTCGAGCGTGAATAAACACTGAAAGAAAAGACAGAACTTGTTTATGATTTTACAGAATCGTTGGTCTAGAATGTTTTTTTTTCAATATCAGGAAGTTACAGAATCTAGTATATAGTTAAAGTTCTCATTAATAATTTCCTAGTTTTTGACCAATTTTTTAATTCTTGTACGTCTCGTAGCTTTTAGAAGTGAGTTTTTTGAAGTTTAAAAAGTTCACTGTGAGACCTCCAACTAATACCAAAAGCTGATGTGTACATGTAGGATACACTAGTTCTGATGCTTGAAATCATAGTTTATAGAGAACATAGTATTTTGTGCCTCTTTCATTGACTTTTATGAGCAAGTTACTAATCAATTAAAAATAATAACATGAAGTGAATTAGTTAAGTACGTGAATCACTTTGCTTGTCATGGAAGCCTCATCAGCCTTAATGAGTTGGTAGCTAATAAAGTCTCGGTATGGATTCAAAACGCTCAATCAGCCTTTCATAAGTTTTGTCACTTGTGGTGTAGGTAAGATGTCTGTTATTATTATTATTATTATTATTATTATTATTATTATAACCAAAGATAATGTATATCGATCAATAATCCCCACTATATTACTTTATGTATTTGATGGAATCATCCACCTGAGTTACAAATCTCCACCATTTTAGAATCATATGAGCGTAGTACTTTGCGTCTGTGGAACACAGTCCTTGAAAGAGGAAGAGATGGTGACACTTAAGATTTTTGATCATAGATGTCTTTGAGGCATTGTTTGCTTTTCGTCTAACGATTGAGTTAGTAGTGTTGTAGTTATACATCAGGAACTTGACCTAGGTGGTTCGTCGGTTGATGAAGTTATTGTAGCAGCTTATATGTTGCTGCACGCTAGCATTATTTATCCAAACTTTCAAACAGACTTAACTCGGACAGCATATGACTATTGGGTCTTTTTAATCGTTCTAATAACCCTTTCTTCCCTAAAAGTTGTGACCGGGCACTAAGTTATGGATCCTCATCTGTTGAAGTTCGTAGGATATATGTCGCCACCACCTACCTCGACAGTTGCTATTTTCTGGTTTTGGAGTTAGGCAGAAAAGAGCTAGGATCAGTCAATCCAAGATGCAGTATTAGTCCATGTAGTCATTGACTGTCGATCTGGACCATGTTGGTAGATGAAGAGTATCTGATTGGGATCCATACGATAATGGCCATTATTGTCTGAAGATTTTAAATGACATTGATTATAATCGTTCACAACAGTGCAGATGCATTCCTTCTTATTTTTCCATCAATCCCGAATTCTAGCAATCAGTATTGCATACCTTTTCATTAGACCTTTTCGAGCCAGATTTTTTAATACTCAGTCTTTTCCATTTTCATTTCTACTGCATTTTTTCAGTGTCTTTTCCCATTCAACTTACTGTGCTGATGTAGTATGGTAACTTGGTCCCAGTCTCTACATTGATAATTACTGATTGACCTATTTAAGCTATAGTGTTTTATGTACAGTTTTGATAATTGACTGTTAATAGTAAAAGTAAACCAGTATTCTTTGTAGACTGTTAAGTATAGAGTATCTGTATATTTTTGTGTTCCACTATAAACGATAAATGTAGTAACAAACATCACATAAATCTCTTCTTTTTTCATTCAAAAATTCGGAAATGTTTTGTATCTTTTACTTGGTTATTGAACCGTCTATTTTTCATTCTCGTTTAATTAACTTGTAAATAACTGATCTTTATATTAATTTATTTTAAATGAACTGGTTGATATTTGTTCTATTAACGTGATGAATAAGTATATGAACTTTCTAAAATAATTATTTTATCAACAATTATCAATCATTGATGTGGAACTATAGTGATTCACGTAGGTTTTTTTTAACTTTCGGACAGACAAATTGTGATCTGTTTGCGTTGTTATTTACATATATATTTGTCTTTGTCAACTATTCATTTATAATCTTGATGGTCCTTATGTGTAGCTACGTCAATTGATCACTTAATTTATTAGTTATCTAACTTTAGCTTCCTTTTACCTGTTTAACCATTAATTCTGATTCATACTTATTCAGATTGAATAGGATAAAAAAAACCTTTCTCTGCACTTCATCTCTTACTGTTTGCATGACATATAGATTGCGTCAAACATATGTATCCGAAACACTCGTTTTGGTCTATAGTGGCTGGTACTGTGACAAGTTCACATAGGCTATTCTAGCTTTTGGACAGATCAGTTTATTCATTCCTCTCAAGCCTTATGTTGACCTTATCAGTTATTCTCTTGTTAACTCTAACTGCTTTCATATGATAGTGTGTTAATTGCTCGTCCAATTCATTACGTGTCTGTAACTTATTTCTGTCTGGATATAAATATTAAGTCATTCTTGATGAAATTGAGTTGGCTCTTTCGCCTTTCCGAAGCGCGTCACTTTGTTTCTCTAGTTGTTTGTCGAGATCAACAATTGTATGAAATATACGTATTCGAAATTCATTTTGGTACTTAGCTTATTTAATTCCTCTCTTCCCCAACGCAATTTAACTTGATAATTATGTACGAGAGTAGCCGTGATGTATATTTCGATAATAATCATCATACGATTTAAATGAAGTTGGATATAGGGTCACTAAATGTTTACAAAATATGTACGAACAAAAGTAAGATATATATGTTTCAATATTATCATTATCGTTCGTCCATAACGTATTCAAATGATCACCTAAATATCTGCACGGTAAATAATATCACAGTGTTCTGTTTCTGTACTTGTATTTTTTCCACATTTTTGCTATCTTCATATTTATTTTATAGTAACCTGTTACAGTATTTAATAGTTTATCGTTTATAAATAAATTAATATATTTGTAATATCCCAATGAGTAGAAAAAATAAAATTTTGTTACATTTCATGACTCTGTGTAAGCCACTTATTCAGACAATATATAACCAAATTAACACTAATCCAAGTTTAAATAGCAAACGGAATAACACGAATATTAGATGAACAATCAAAAACAGGTCTGAATAAATCAATGTCAAGTCATTTCATTTCGGTCAAGGTGATTCATAAGCGATATGTATGTAATTTTGTATGTATTTGTGTACTGTTAATGATGTAAAATGTGTGACCTTTATAATGACAAAGGAAAGAGTTCAATCTGTAATTTAATGGTGTGAAATTGCTAATGATATCAGACTAGGTGACTGGGATAGATAGTACAAGTAGGATGTATGGTAAGGCCTTCCTTTCTATTAAGGGCAGTAGGAATAAGCATTCTATGGAACGCTTCAGCTACTCTCCTTTCTTTGTAATTGGAAAAATCTTTCTGTATTTTGATATTTTTGAAATCAATTTGATGATTGTTGAGAATGGCATGAACTGCTATCGCCCATTTAATTTGAAGTCTATCCCATTCTACAGGATTATTAGGAGGTTTCTTTGTGTACCTAATATGTACTTTAGCGCGAGTCGAGATTTCGCGAGATGACTCTCTAACACACTGAGTCACGAAACGTCAGAAAATCTAATTTTTCTACTCACTGGAATATTACAAATATATTTATTTATTTATAACAATTTAGCCAAATCTAAATCTATTCAAAAATAGTTTATCGTTTAGTTTTATACAATAACTCTTACTTCTTAAAACTAACTTACTAATACTTGGTCGGTGATACATCGTATTTACGCTAGTAAAAAATTGATTATTAAATTACATAAATTACTGATATTTATATCAGTAGTTTCTTATTATTTCTTACAATTATAGTATAATGATATGATTATTTCATAATTATTTCTCAATACTAAATATCTATGATTTGTTAAATTTTCGTGGATTGGTTGAAGTTAGACATTAACACCGTTGGATGCCGACTCAGTGGTCTATCGGTTAAGGGCTCTGGCTCGAAACTGATAGGTCCTGGGTTCGAATCTCACATGTGCGGGATCGTGGACACGCACTGCTGAGGAGTCCCACGATTGGACGAAACGGCCGTCCAGTGATTCCAGGTTTTCCATGGTGGTCTAGCTTCAATCGACCCATGATTTCAACTATGAAAATTTTCATTTGTTTATATATTGCTTGTGAATAATTAATAATAATCAATTAAGTTTTTTTTAATTTTTTGCTCAACATCAGATCAATTAAAAATAAAATTTTATTGATTTTCTTAAAAAAATTTCTTCTAGTATCTACGCGATCTGTTGTGTATTCATAAACGAATTTGTCAAACTCCTGTCACATAAATGACTTCAAATATTGTTGAAAATCACGAAATCATATGTATGTTACCAATCGATACTATTGTAAATGTATTTTGTTTCCTTAATTATATATTTTTTTGTTTCTAACCAATCATGTTGATGATGATGATGAGATGAATATATTTTTTCTTCTTTTGAATTCATAATTTTTTTTCTTTTTTTAGTAATTAAAATCGATCATTTTGTTTAAAAAAGAAAATTAATCTTCAGTAAAATATTTTTTTGTTTTTATCATACTTATTTATGATTTGTTGTCATGGTTATTTTAGTAATACTTTAAAGATAGTCAGTCTGTAATGTTTTCCTTTTTTATTTTCAATGACAATTACATAAATTACTGATATTTATATCAGTAGTTTCTTATTATTTCTTACAATTATAGTATAATGATATGATTATTTCATTGAAAATTTTTATTTTTATTTTTTGCTATCTAAGCAATGTAGATTAATTATTTATTTTCAATTATTCCTTTCATCAATTTAAGACATGTTTTGTTTCCATTGTTATTTCCACGTTTTGTTTTTGTTAAATCTAGTGAAACGTATCGGTAAGTTAATACAATTTCAGTTGTTTTTATTTGCTTTTAATTGATTATATTCATTTTATAAATACAACAAGTGATGGAGTTGAGTTTTTGAAAAACCACTGTATATATGTCATTAAGGAGATATAATTTGGTAATATATTGAGTAGCATCACAGATAATATAAAAGGCTTCGTTTTGGGTGGATGATTGATTATTTGTATTATTAAGTTATACTGTAGTAAAATCATTGTGCAGACTAAGTAGGGCGTTAAACATGAATAGCATCATGCTGTTTACCACGAAAGTGTTTATCAATCGTAGAAACCATAGATCTGATAATTTTTTATTGTAGATTGTTTGATGTACATAAATGAACAATGAGCTTGGAAACAATGAATTATGCTGTAAACTGTAAACATATTATGAAACATATTCACAGGCGTATTTTTACCTACGATTAAGAACGACTGAATATTTATTAATATAATGATTATCATATATCATGTAAATAATTATTAGTTCACCTGATCTTCGTGTGCTACGAATCATTTGTTTTGAGGTTTACTCAGTTTCAAACATAGACATTGTACTCTTAACAAAAATCCTCAAGACAATGAGTTCAGTTAAATATCATTACCATAATCATCGTTATAGCAAGTGTTACTTATAGGTAGATAGTGGGTTTAAGGAATTATTTAAGCTGTTGAATTCAAGAATTATTTCCACACCAAAATCCGACACAATCCAACAACAAAGAACAGTTAATCAATAATAATAATAATCAGGATAGGGGAATATATAACACATATAACACCTGTCACACTATCTACTTGTCTGACTCAGTAAAACAACCAATCATTATCATTTTCGCCCACATATCACTAACAAAACAATTATGTTTTTAAAAGATTTCACTGGAAATTTTTTAAGAATACTCAAATTTTATTTTTTGGTCAATAACTGTTATCATTTGGAGATGTTTTTTACTATGTGGCTAGTTGACATCATCAATCTATTTCTAATCTTTCAATCCCATGCTCGAATGAAAAAACGAATCGTTCATCATTTTATGAATCCCATGATTTTTTACAGCTGTTTTTGATTAGCATCAATCAATTTTTTAAAGGTGAAATTACACTAATATAGATTAAAAATCTATTTTAGCTGAAGAAAAAAAAAGCTTTTATTTGTCTTAATTACACAAGCATATGGAATAATGGACAACTATCTCATGGGGAATAAACGCTTTTATATATTTTTAAATGTCCCATTTATTTTTATCCTATTAACTTTGTATAGTCCCTAAAGTACCATGACTCTTTTGTAAGATGAAATTCGAGATCTGTCGAGTAAAATCTGGGAGATATTTAAAGAAAATTTTTTATCTTCTTCGCCTTGGAGACAAACGAACCGTTATTCAATTAATGTTTATTTAAAAGTTGTCGATATAATCCATTTGGTAAAATGTTTTTTTATTTATACATTTATAGTAGATAATGAAATAATTATATATAATCTCAGTGAAGTGTTTTGTTTAGCTGCTAAATAAATGAATACATTTTCATCTGAATAATGACTTTTTTCGAAAAACATTTTCCTACCTACAACTATACCTTAATTCTTAATTCCTACAACATTCAGGTGATTGGTTTCAAATAACCATTTCTTAATAGACGGTATTTTAATAAAAACGTTTACCTGAGTAGTTTACGAATTCTTATCATGGAGATACAAAAGCCAGTATGAAGTAACCAAACTTTATGTCAGGAATAATAAACACTTTCTGACCGAACAATACTAAGTACCATTGTTAATATCCTCAAATAACTTTGCTAAAGAAGCTTCATTAGTGTTATATGACTAGAAACATTTTAAAAACGAATCAAAACTTCAAATGGATTTGTTAATCTCTATTCACTCATACGACTTGATATTTCCATTTAATTCAGGTCGTATGGTAAGTCGACAGCATTCCGCTTCAAAAATATGTTGGTATTGGTATGAATTATCTGTTAAGATAATTTGTTTTATCGTATTCAGTATGCTGTTAATGGTAAAAATGGTTCCTTTCAAAGAAAAACAATGACAAATTCTTCTACAGACAAAGATTTTAAGTAGGTTGATAAAACTAGATTTTCATTGTAGTTGATTTAGGGATAAGATTATCGAATAAGACATTTTGTTTCCAGTATGGTTTAAATACCGTACATGGTTTTCTAAACATAATGGGAAAAGATTTCAAATGTAATTTGTGAACTACCCAAATGTTTATCAGATATTGTTTAATTAAAGTATTTTTTTCATAGATGTTCACGATGTTAGATTACATTTTTCAGAAATATCAGTGTAAATTTTTCAGGTAATATGTCCATTTTACTGGTTATTTGCAATATCTACATCTGTTTTCTACACTAAACACTGTGCAGCTTCATGGTGGAGCAAAATAACTAACAACCAACTTATTTGTTTTGACAGGCTAGACATCAAGTACTAGAAGGATGCCATTTCATTGACTGAGAAGTGAAATTATTTAATCGGGCGAAATCACTTCAATATTATTATACTATTAATCTCTTGAGTAGTAGAAATGAAATTGTCAAATTTGTTGTGTTGTGGTGTGGGTTGCTTACATCTACATAAGTAGTATATGACGATGGTCAAGCAGAGAATGTATTTCATCAGAAGATCAATAAGGAAAGAACGGGAACGAAACGCGATTGGTACGAAAGTGCATGAACAACAATCATCGGAGACTATCGACTAATATTTGCTAAAGGAACTGTCAAGATTGAAACAATTGATTGATAGTTTGCAAATTATCTGTTGGCTGTATGGTTGTCAGATTTTAGTGAGATAGTCTGTAATTTTCGTGTGAAATACATTCCATTGTCCCCATTCATCTTCTAATTTACTACAGCATCTGTTAGAACAGGTTCTTGAAACAGGAAAATAATAGGATTTTTGAGGCGCAAAGCAGAGGTTAAAAAGTGGGGGTAGATGATGATTTCATCCACTACTTAAAAACATCGATTTAACTGAAATTCGATGATTAGTTAGTAAGTATGATGTATAACCAAAATATACGAAGTATAAGATTACATTTTACATAGAATTGATATGAAATGCACACTAGATGTTAACTGAAAAAAATTAACACTAAATTAATACGAACTACAGTTATATTCTATATATATCATACTGAAATACGTAAGAATTATACTGAACTACAATCATATGCAATGCTGAACAAAAAATATGAGACTGGAATAAAAACGTGTTTTATACTGAACGATTATTATGCTTAATCAAAAACCTAAGTAATACAATGTAAGAAAAACACTGAGTTAGAAAATGGTCTTGTATTTCTCTCCGTTCCCAATAAAAACTGATTAGGAAGCCAAAGTAATCGGATTAGTTGGATTAGAATAATGGATATTTCGCATTACATTAACTTCGTGTTGATAGAATGTATTTAATCATCAGCGTATGATCAGTGATTGTCAGAACACTCGATGTGTATAAGAAAATAAATTTGTAAACTGATTTTAATTAGAGAACCTTTGATTTCATCGTCACTATCCAATCGTTTAAGCCTATTCTCAAGTTATAGATTAAAACTGTAATAAACTTAGGATTAGTGGCATCAAGTGATTAAACAACTACTTAAATTAACCTATTCATAAGCAAGAGTGTATGACACTTAAACTTGAAGTTTGTTGAAGTTGACTCAAACATGACACGAATTGTTGAGATATTCACGGCAAAAACATGATTTATATTTTTGTTTTCTGAAATCAACCGATATTTTAAGCTCACTACAGAATTCATTTAACGATGTTAATTATAGACCGACCAAACCGGAAGATAGTCGAAGCACTATCGAAAGTTCCAGAAGCACACATGGTATGGTAGGAAGGAAAAAACTTGGAATAAAATTATTGACCTATCCAGATAATATTTTCTGATATATCTTCATGATATTTAGGGCACATAAGTCAGTTAAAAATGAGAACTTGGATTTTTACCTAACAAAATGATCAAAATACTGTTTCCATCAATTCCTTTTAACATTTTCGTTTTCATTGATTGGAATACAGTTATTTTGTTGATTTTTACTTAACAAGAAGTTTAAGCTTTTCACTTTCTGTTATAAAATCTTTACATTCAAATTCGCAATAATATAATGAGATACCATAGGTATTCGGTATTGAATCCTTTTTTCACACTTATACAGTGTAGGTTAATTAATGAAAAAACCTTGGAAGTAATTACAGTGGCATTCGAGTTTTCTTTGAACGAACATTATTTCTATTATCATATTGTGGTGTTTGTATGAACTAATGATCCCTTCATACTTGATGACTACTCGGTTCCTAATTCCAAATACAATACATTCGTTCGTGCTTATATACTTCTTCTTAGTTAAATTGCTTTATTTATGAGATTCCTTAATTCGTACAATAATTCAAATACTCCTAGTCATCACACATATTCTATATCTTATAAATCAATCCTTTGTAATCCAGATTCATTATTTCTGTTTTCTATGAACAGATAAAACATACCCCATTTTAAATCTAGTAAACGTGAAAAACAAAAAAAAAACAAGTTTACATATGTTCACTTGGTGTTGTTTACTTGTATCTTCCCATTGTTATTTAGAACTACATATGTATTTCAAAAGTATTTCATTTTAAAAATCAATTAAAATTTGTTACAAACAAAAAAAACGAAAAAAAAGTGAATAACAAAAATATTCAAACGTCTGTTTAGTGTTAAAACTAGAAAGTCTAAGGTTTCTTATAAACATTTACTCTTTTATATACATTTTAGTTAATTAAAACATAATTCAATTTTGTTTTTTGTAATTTCTAATTATAAAAAGAAAATTATAAAATTGGAAAGAAAATTGTTAATATTTTTAATAAAATACATAAATATTTATTTATCATCATATTTGTCTAATGCGCCTTATTTTATCATAGTTACTAGGTGGCTGGAAAAAATTTTTGTATTCATATTCTTGTTGCTATGATTGTGTACAATCAATAAAGATGCATTCAAAAATAATATATACATTAACTTACGTTTATTCCATATAAGGTAACTAGAATAATATGTTCAATTATTATTTTTAGTATAACATACTGATTAAATAAAAACACATGTAAATTTGAAAAAAAAGAAGTTTAAGTGATAAAATGTGTAGCAAACAAAAGTGTCTTGTTAAGGATTGTAATAGTTTAGAAAATGAATTTAGTTCTGACAAACTACATAATCGGTTAATTTACTTTACTAGTGTAGTGAATGAGAATATAAGTAGGGACATTCAAATGTATTTCAATATAAAATTACAGAATCACTTCGTGAAGTCTGAGAATTATACAGTAATAAATTCATTTGTTGAATATCAGTCTATCATCTTAAACTTCATTATTCTTTCATTTCCATACCAATCATTCATTGTTCTCTTTCCTTCGATCTTCTTAACCTTCTGTCACCATGCATTTCATTTTCAATTGATGATACATGCTACTTATATCTTTGAACATCGGTGGCACACATTGCGATGGAATATTGGAAAAACTAGAAATTAAGAATTCGTTAGTTAATTTAAACTATTCTTTTTTATATCAGAATGGGATTTTGTGGATATTATAGTAATTTTAATAGTTTAGACCATAAATCAATTGAAGCTAGACCACCATGGAAAACCTGACTTCGAATCTCGCGAGACGGGATCCTGGATGTGCATTGCTGAAGAGTCCCACAACCGGACGAAACGACCGACCAGTGCTTCCAGGTTTTAATGGTGGTCTAGCTTCAATTGATTCATGATCTCAACTATTATAATTCTTTTCGAGTTAAACATTGAGACTTTACAAAGGTTTAAGTTTCAAATGAAATTGTGATTTCATATAATGTTTTATTTCTATTCATTATGGTGTTGAAATACATTGATTATATGTTATGTGAACATGCTTAATTTTGATCGAATGTAAATGCATTTCAGTTTTTTTAAAGTGTCAAAATTTTAGGGTTTAATAACCGTCAATTTTATTTTATCAGCCCCCAAATGCCCTGGTTCTGCCGAGAGTATAGAGAGTCAGCTCTCCTTCTCGAAATGCTCCCACATGGCCACGGCATACAACCACTGCAAGGGAAGTTCTACTCACTGTCTTCTCGTGAGGAAGGTGTTGTTTACAAAATAGAGAGGATGAAAAGCGAATGTCCGGTGATTTAACTGAGTTAGTGGATACGGAGGATCCACCTAGGGGAGTTGGAAAACCTTGATTCTAAACCAACGGTGTACAATGTGTCCAGGATCCTGAGGGAGCAAATGGTGACCGGATACCATGGTATTGCATCTTCTTACGTTGTTCCACTGCCTTGTGGATTAGACCTCCAGGTCAAACGCCCAGGATGTGGCCTCCCAAGAAAACTACATGTTTTAGTTCGGGCAACTGGGCAGTATTTCAGCTCTCACAAAAATCGAATGATTTGTGTGGTGTATATGTATTTGGTGCTTTTTTGTGTTTAAATAAAAAAATTATCATATTAAATGACGGAGTAATTTTTTACTGTTTAAAAGAGCTTCCGATATTGCTAAATAAGAACACTGGTATATGTAATAGAAGTAGATTTAAGTTATATATTTTTTATTGGATATTAGTAATTCTGTAATCGTTGATATAAACCAAAAATATGACAGGATTAATAACTTAAAAACCTATCTTGATGAGACTTTTCATTTTTACATTTAGGTGAACTGAAACTTCCGAAGTATCGGGTACATAAATACAGCTGTTTAACTACTGTTTAAAATATAACTTCTCTTAATAAACATTTCTGTCCTTTAACATAAGCACAACTTAACTGACAATGTTTCACATTCAGTATTCTTGATGTATGTTATTTTCCTGTAACTTTAATCTTATTCATTAAAAGTATTTAGCAAATGTTTTTTGGTTAGCGCTTTCTGACGAGTTAGTTTTCTACTGGATGGGGTTGCTAACCCCATGTTCAACCATCCTCCTTTATCCGAGCTTGGGACCGGCAGTAGAGCCAGAGGGGCTCCAAATGGAGTTATATGTTTTACTATGTAACATTAATATTGCAATCTCTGCTTTATCTGAATTATTCTACAAATTTTAATAAATTCTTTATTTCTTTCTAAGAATATTTTCTACATAATCTTCATGTGATTAGAATAAAGAAACAAGATTCACTATAAAAAATACATGGAATAGTTCATGAGTTTCAGCTTCATCTCTTTTTATCTAAATATTTTTTCATGAATAATGATATTAATGCATTTTAGTGGTTCATTGAAAAAGATAAACAAATACTATGAATAAGTTGATCAAACTCTTCTATGTTTATCATCTATTTTAAATTCACATAGCATTGTTTGTTTGAATGTTCCCATTGTTGTTTAGGACTGCAACTGGTCAGTCTCTTATTGGCATATGTGCATACTGTGCGTATTGCTTCGTTATAGCCTTAATTCACAAGCATTATACGAAAAGATGGATAATAGCTGGCAGTGGAATCCAGGATTCGGGTTTCGTCCGATCCATTTTTACTTATATTATCTATTTTGTTTAAAACAACTACTAAACTATAAAAATAGTAGGCACTATGATATTGATTAATACTTGATTGTTGTTCAGGTAAAAAACAATAATGACACGGATAGTACAAAGATTATTTCACCTATAAATGTCAGTTATAGTCCTTGTTCATAATCAGTTCAAAGTTATATCTAATTAGTCCACTTATTATAAAGAATAGTATAAATGAAAAATACTTAAAAATGTTTTCTTCATGTTAGTGCTTTACAGCTGTAGTTTATGTATGGCTTAAATACTAATTTACATATCATATTATCAAGTAGCAACTTGGTAAGCATTTAATGTAAGTATCTGTACTGAAAATAATACTAAATCCATATATTTTTATCTATATAACATCTGTTTACTAAATGTAGATTTTGTTACTGTTTATAACATTTTGCATTAAGGTTTTTATAATCAAAGGCCTATTAATAGCGTTAAGTATCAGAAACCATTTTGGCAACCGTTTTTCGCCTTATATATATATACTGGTGAAAGAAGTAAACAGCGTCCATCATTATTGTTAACATTAAATCCTAACGATGACGTAGAATATTATATATTCTGTCTTTGTTTATCTCAGATGGAAAATATATTTATTAATCTGTTGATGAATTTAATCTTCAAAGGGGTATCCTTTTGTTATATAATGATTAGAAACTTATAGTTCTATTGTAAAATTGGTCATGTATAGTATGTATGCATGTATAGTATGTAACAGCGATGAGAAGTGGAATGCCTTTCAAAAGAAGGTTGAAATGATTGAATTGAAGAAAACAGAAAGGGAAACATAAAACGAAGGAGAATGGGAAGGATCATGAAGGATGCAAAAGACGACTGATGAAGATATGCATATGAGGATTTTTAATGTATGGTTCTCATAATTAACAAAGAAGCTCTGACTCTTGTTATATGCAAAACTGTTACCCTTATCATTGCCTGAAATGTTTATTCAATTTTTTACCTGTCTCAAATAATAATAATGATGGTATATACTCTTAACATTCTGGTTCGCCTTAGAAAGCGATTTCATCATAAATTAGTGCTTGTTTCTTTTCTTCACAATATTACGATATTTCTTCAACTAAGTTTACGGTTATCAAAACTTTTGATAATTTGTGATCTTTCCAACTAACTAACTTTTGACTTGTGTATCACTATGATTTAGATATGGGGATGATAAGTTGATTGATCTCAATAAATCATTGATATAAATGATGTATCTACTAAATCTTATCCAATATGATTATAATAAATTTTTGACCACATATAGGACAAGTATTCAAAATTTACATGTATAATTTCACATCAGAAGTAGGGTTTTGCGGGGATTTTAGTAATTTCATAGAATTGAGATCATGAGTCAATTTAGGCTAGACCACCATGGAAAACCTAGAAGCACTGGACGAAACGGCTGGCTAGTGCTTCCAGGTGGTTTAGCTTCAACCGACTCATGATCTCAACTATATATAATTTCATATATTTGAGATGCTGCTAAATATTTCAAAAAATAAATAGGAAATACTGGTTAGATGATTTTCATGTTTGTGTAGGACCTGACTTGTTATCTATTTACCAGTTTATCATTATCAAGATATAAAAATTTCATATTCTATTGAGTTATGTCTTTATGTTTACAGTTTACTGAAACATTTATGATTCCTTAGCACCCTAATTGTTCTTCTGCCTGTAATTAAATTTGGTCGATAAATTCTATTCATAGAGCATTAAAAAACAAAATAGATACTGTTCAAACCTTCTAAGTTCTTTTAGTTACGTAATC